TCATTAGTGTGCAACGAGCAGATTTCCACAGATAGTGGACTTGATAGGGTGATCGTCAGAGGAAATGCAGATAACTATTAGCTCATTTAACTGTTATGGTTTCTACCGTCTTCATTTTCAACCCACACAATGCCATTCAATTTTAATTGGAAAGAGGCCTCATTATGATATTTTCTTTTTTTACAATTACATACCGTCTTCTTGCTCTATTTTTTCTAATTTTTCATATCCGTAATTACACTGGTTGTTCGTGCTGAAGCATAAATCCTGTGGGAGGCTAATAAATGGCTGAGGTTGATGACAGGAGCACAAAACCCCACAGCTGGTAGCGTGTCTTTGAGCTAAGGAAAGGAGCTCAGTGTCACTGAGGATACAACAGAATCATGTTCAGCAGACAAACAGAGTGAACCCTGCTCTTTCATTTTTCTAAGAGCCCTCACAGAGGAGCAGTGTTGATGTGGGATCTGTGACCGGGCCATCTCCATCATCTCAGTCACAGCAGGGATAAGTAGTGACTCTGGTCCATAGCTGGATGAAGCATCAGGTTACATATTAGAGCTCAATTAGCTCTTTTAACCTGCTTGCTGTCCTTTATGCGTTGCCATATATAAAGGGCTTGTGTTATATGCCACCAGGACTTAAGTGTGCTGAAATGATTACTCAATAAACAGAGAATAGAGTTAAGAATTCCAATAGTCCACTATAGCTTACTAAACATGAGGAGGTGCTGGTTTTTTTCTGTTACGTCATTGTAAATTTGTAACTTGCAACCTTAAGGCGTCATCTTCATTTTAAGGAACTTTCGTTCACTATTATTTTACACTATATAGCTGAAACAAGAGTCTTCAGCCATGCTAGCCGCTCTGTGAGGCTGCACTATGCACAGCAGTGCTTTGAGCTAAATGCTAAGGTCAACATTTTATAACAATCAACTGATTTATCTGTATTGAAAAGAATCATCTGTTGCAGCCCACATGCTTATACATGTAGAGTGACTAAAATGTTAGTTATTTTCTCTTTATTCTTGTGTTTCTTCATGAATATTGATGATGTAGATTTAGGCACATGGAGCAGCTTTGGTAAAAAATTTAAGGAAGCACTCATTGTAATCTAATTGCATTTATTAAATTAAATGGTGAGTATACCAATAAGGCCAATGATGATGTACTCTGTGCTGATCTTAACAACCAGAGGAGCTGAGGAGCCATATACCTGAGAAGGATGTAGCAATTTTCCCTCATTAAAAAGGAAGCAGGCAGTGGAGCAGGTGCAAACCTTAACCGGTCCTCCGTGGACGGCTTTAAGTCTGCACAGCTCCTTAATGAGTCCCCTCTTTGCATTGCACAGAGAGATGTGTGAAGTTGGCCGTGAATGAACGGCACAGTATTGTTCACACGAGTCCCCGCTGTGCAGATGCACCCGAACGCACCAGAATGCAAAGTGGAACTTGAGTTGGGACAAAAAAAACAAACAAATACATCAAGCAGTCAAAGAAGTGTTTAAACTGAAGAGCTGATTCAGGAAGACGCAATCAGCTAATTACAGCCGAGCTTAATTTGTGGACATTTGTAACTTGTTGGCCTGCTTTGAGAACGTGAGTTCTGTGCAAACATGAGCGCGGGGGGAAGCTACACCGGGAGATCTGATGTGTTGACATTTGCAGTGAGCCATGATTACAGCTTCAACATTGACGCATGTCATAATGGAGCGTGTATAACAGCCTATAACCTGCTGTGGATTATCCCGACACCTCCTGCCTCTGCAGCTGTTTGTTTTATTGTTCTTCCTTTTGATGTTTCCTCATTATGCCTCCCCTAGATAATCATATATGTACAGTGCTCCAATTAAAACACCAGTCAGCTCAATCCAACTGCCACCACTGCTTATATAATGCCCACATGGTGATTTCTTTTCGATGCCCTTTCAATATGCTTGCTGTTTTCACGCCACCTGTTTGCCAAGACAGCTAGTAAACAAATAAAACCCCTTTGCATTTCAGATGGTATATCTCACTGCCTGGTGCAGCACAGAATATACACACCTGAGCATAACAAAGCATCTCATCTCATCTCAGGTTCAACATTTTTTGGATGAGATTCACCTGGAGAGGCAGGAATATAAGCACGGGCACATAATATTCCAATATTTACACCAACCACTAACCACTCACGGTGGGCAAACCAAAGCAAAATGCTAAAAGAACATAGCTATAAAACAAAAGGACTAGAAAACAAAACATCACATTTTAGCTCAACAGTTTGAAAATAACTTTATTTTGCTCTCATATACAGAGTTGGATGACAAAACCGACACCACTCTCATGTCTTTATGCAAAATAACCGTTATGTAGCTAACGTTAGCACTACAGCAAGAAAGCGAATTTTCCAAAATACTGAACTAATTATTGAACATAGAAATAAACAGGTAATCCAATCAGGAAATGTAATAGTTAAGAAAACAATAAGGTCACCTTCGTGCAATAGTTCTCAACCTTTGAGGTCTGGACTACATACCACTACACACATTTGACTACATGCACACACACACACACACACAATACACAGTAGATTAAAGAAAGTATGGATAAAATGGATTCATCGTCCATTTTCAAGCAACAAATCAAACATTTGCTGGTTCTTGCTTCTAAAATGAGAGGATGTGTTTCTGTTCTCCTCATCCTTGTAAATGCGCTTCTCTGTTATCTGACATTTCATGAACAAAATAATCGATTCGTAAAAGTCCTGACAGACACGGTATACACAGTACACACAGTATCCAGTATTATAATCCTGCCATGTATTTTGTGAGCCCAGTTTAGCTGTGGGTCCCTGTAATTACCACCACCATTCACCCCATCATTAGCAGCACTTGTGTCACCAAGCGGCACCATTCAATACCTTTTTGAGAGGATTGTGAATAATATGAGCTGAAGATTTTCTCCAACATTTTTCATGTGTCAAATCCAGAATCCAGACGCAACTAAATTCAAAGCACCCAACTTCTAGAAATGTTAAACAAATCCTCTCAGGACAGTGTTGGTGTATGCCCCAAATATTCCGCCATCAGCCCCCACAGAAAGGCCCCATCCCTCCCAGCTCTTCCCCTGACGCACCACTCCAATTACACAGGTGAGGCAAAGCACTCCAAAGACTTGCCAAAGATAGTATGCAAATGTGCATGACAACAAAAATATGCAATCAAATAACAAATTCACCCACAAGCTTTCTGCGCTCTCGGGGGGTCCGGGTAGAGGGGCAGATCCCTGCATGCTCAGTCAAAAGGTAATGCAGCTACTGCCTGGCCGACTTTGATAAGACTATCTGTCTGAGGTGATATTTCTCAGCAATGAGATCAAACGGTCCGCCTGGTTGTCACGGTAGAGGCTTGGATCTGAGGATGGTTGCGAACCAACTCCTCCTCTGACATCCTTCACATCCTCACTCCCGTCAAGTGTTCTGTCTTTTGGTACCGGGGAGGTGTCACACACCCGGATAACCTTATGAACCCCTCACCAAGCTCACAGTCTCCCCATCTCACACATATCTGCTGCTGCTTGTGTTTTGAACGAGATCTATCGAGAGGCTTGACGATATAAAATCTGGTGCATCATTTAAATCAGTGAGGGTCAACAAAATACTTGAATCAGCTACAGCACAATACAATATGTATTCCTTGATTATGACCAGATGAAGATAATAATCTTCATCATCGATACCGACCTAAATAAATGGATCACGTTAGAACCGGTTTCTGACTGGTTGGTTAAACTTTGTCATTGTTTATTGTTTCCCTCAAACAATT